GAATTTCCCTCTGCAACACCTTCACTGACAGCTATTAGCTTGATGTGCCATGATTTTCCTTGGATTGGATGTTCTCAGGAATTCAGCAGCAGACCTTCCACAAGTGGCACATGATTCAGACAGGGAACACTGGGCAAGAGTCTGCTGTGAAAACAGGCAACTACAAGTAGGCTGCAGGGTGTGACTCGCCCAGAGTCATTTCTAAGAGCTACCAACACATAAAATATTGATCAGTTTTGCCATCCCGGGGAGGAGATAACTATTGAGTGGAAAAGGGATCACCTGGAAAAGGCAGAAGAACTCTTGAATGTTCTTGCAAATTGAAACCAGGCACTGTTAAAAATGCCAGATGCTGGGTTCTGCCCCAGACCTCCTGACTCAGAATCTTGATGGGGCTTGGAATCTTCTCTTTTTATATGCATTCCTCCAGTGACTCTGCAGATGGTCTTACACCCATCTACTGAGAAACACTGGTTTTGGAGGAGAGGCAAGGCAACTGGGCCAGCAAAACCTACTGGGGCTCCAGGAGGGAGGTCTCAGCTAAAGAAACCAGAGAGTGGCACTAGAACAAAGGGCCCAAATCAGAGGCAAACCAGTTACTTACAGTTTAAGGCTGATCCTGGGGCAGTCCCTTGTTAGCTCTGATGTCATGATCATACTTTAACAGTCAGGACTCAGAAACTATATAGTAATTCAAATAGGAATAAAATAACAAATTACTCACCATAGTAAGAAATTACCTCCAGGAGAAAAGGAAAACTAAAAATACCGACATAGTGGATAGAGAGAGCAGCCACTTAAAAGTACCTCAAGGTTGGTCTACCTCTAGGTCAAGGCAGATACAAAGGAACGCACAAAGCCGGAAGCACTCACCTGCCAGGAAGCACAGACTTATGCCGTTTTTTTCAAGTCATCTGCTCCAGGGGAGGGTTTCACAGGGTTTTAAAGTGTCCCCAGATAAAGGAAGACAAGCTACTTCCACTGCCAATGAGGCACAAGGTGACCTGGTGTTCAAAATCATCACTTTCATGTGGGCCCAAGCAGAAGTGCCTATTTCAAGTTTGGGGATCCCATTCCTCCCCAATCAATGCCTTAGCCTCACAAGAGAAACTTAACAAGGCTATAAATTCATCTAACACTGAAATTCAGCCCACAGACAGTTGCCAAACACGGCTAGCCACCATGCATTGAAAAGCCAGCTGAGACTGCACACTGGAATCAGGAAGAGCCCTTTCCTCCTCTTCTAATATGTCCCTCCAGCACCCTCTACTGATGGAACTGAACACCCAGCCAGATGGAAAAGGAGACACGTGCCAGAACTGCTGAGCAGTCAGTGAAGGATGGGCTTGGACCTGAGAATCAGTAAGAATTGGTAACGCACCTCATTTTCATCCCTTTTCCGTGGTCTCCACCACCACCACCCCTAATAGAAACAAATCCTGCAAACAGAAATGGGGCAACCCAGGATGCCAAACTGCATCAAGATCGTCTTTCTAATAGTATAGACTCACATGTACCTAGGATGATCAACAGTTTGCCCAGGACTGCCCTGGCTTAGCATTTAAAAAGCCCTGCATCCTGAGAAACCCCCAATCCCAGAAAAACTAGGACACTTTGTCACCCTACATGTGTCCAAAGGGTTTCTAAATGTTCTATGTATCAGAAACACCTTGGGCACTTGGTAAAAACACAAGTGATTCTGTTAAAGATGCAGTTATTTTAGATGCCAGCGGTTTATGTATTAATTTTTGAGAAGTGTTCTACTTGAGAACACTACTTCTAGGGACTCCTCAATCCAGACTTCTGTTTCTGTTCCAAAACCATTAACCATCAAAAAAAGAAAGAAATTACATCCCTTTGGGAAGATACAGCCAAAGGTCCCTGAGCCAGAAGCAGATACTGACAAATTACTAGTTGATGGGGGTGTGGTATAAAAATCGCAATCCGACCATACCACTTGCCCCTCCTTTCAGTTCCAGGCTAAATTGTTTCTCCTTCCATGTTACAAGTTACAACAAAGATTTGTGGATGTTGTGAAGATGAGATAGTATCAACCACATAGCTACATTGATAGGGTAGACTGAACGTCCTGCAGGTAAGCGGTATGAGGTTTATTCTAAAGACTTTTGCAGTGACTACGCTTTGGCAGATCTTGAAGAATAACTTGCCCTGGCTGGTGTGGCTCCGTTGGTTGGAGCGTCCTCCTGTGAACCGGAAGGATATCGGCTGGATTCCCAGTGAGGGTACACACAGGTTTCTGGTTCCATCCTCGGTCTGGACGCACAGGAGCAGAGAGGACCACTAATCCGCTGCCTCCTGCACGCCCCCCACTGGAGATGGAGCCCGCCACCTCCGCATGTTTCCTATCCGGAATCAAACCTGGCTCATAGATCGATGCTCAATCACTGAGCAACGCGGACTGCGCAAACTTCAAATCCTTTAGCTTGGCACCCGGTTCCCCAACTCCCTCGCCTTTCCACTAGCTGGGCGGAAAAAGAGGCTTGGATGTCTCCAACAGGCGGAGCCGGGGAGGTGATATCCAGAGGGGCCCTGGCCTCGGAAACACGTCCTCACTCCTCCCTTCGCCATATCCGGGCTCCTCGCGGGGATCCATCTAACCCTCCAACCCCGTGTCTATCTCCAACCCGGCCCTCCCTGCAGCACCTTCAGATACGCGGCCCTTCGGGAGCCAGGAACGCGGAGCAGCCCGGAACGCAGAGCAGCGCGGACGCCAGGTGCTGGCGCCGGAAGCGGCGGCGGCGCGTGACGTAAGCGGAAGTGCCTGACGCCACGGCCTCTGATTGGAAGTTGCTCGAGTCGGTGCTGCACTGTTAAGGGTCCCCGGGCTGCAGGCGGCGAAGCAGGTCCGGGGCCGAGGGTTGCTTTCAGGGCGGAGCGTGCCCGGCTCTGCCGGCAGGTGCGACCCTGGGTTCCGCGGTGGGCGCTCGGGCTGGTGGGGCGGGGGCCGCCTCTGAGGTCCTTTCCCCGCGGCCTCCGCGACCTCACCCGAGCCTCCTGGAAGAGAAGGGTCTGCTAGGGAAAGTTATTAACCCTTGTGGAGGGCCAAGCTTTCAGACCGTTTAATCTGTATTTCAATCGTGAGGGAGAGATGGGTGTCCTGCTCATAGAGGAGGAAACTGAGGCCCCAAAAGGTGGAATCATGTGCCCCAAGTTATGCAGCTGGGAAGTGGCAGATCTTGATTCAAAGCGAGTCCTGGCCGACGGGGTTCGCCAGCTTGGACTGGGATAGGAATCCCGGATGGGAGATGGGGTGAATGAACAGTTTCTAAACTGTTATGGGGCCTTGGAACCCGTATTTTCAACATCTGTCCCCTGACATGTAGTAACCGATTGCTGCCTGTGAGCCGAGCAAGAACTATAGCTAATTGTCGTGTTAAGCTTTTAAGGCCTCAATGGAGAGAAAATATCAAACGAGGGCTTCCTCTACCCGTCTTGTGGGACTGGAGAGTTGGTATTTTGGGGGCAGATGACAGCACCTGTCATCTCCCCACTTAGGAGAAGAATTACGTATTTGTTACCTGGGCAATTTGTTAAACATTCGGATTTCTGGGTGCCCATCCCAGCTGTCCTGAATCAGAAGGTGTGTGGGGTGGGTCCTGGTAATCAGTAGGTTAAACAGGCTTGTTACCTTCCAGAACCTGCGATGAGAAGCTTTTTTAGATAGGCTCATAAAGAAATGGATCATAGTTTCAAAGCATGCCTAAACCTCCCTGTTCCTGGTAGGTCTGCATGCTCCTGTGTATGCTGTGAACTAAAACTTGATTGGTGAAAATGTCAAAGTGATATGATGTTACTGACCATTATGAGGTGGATTCTTCAATTAGCTGAAGATTGTAACAAAATTTGAATAGTAATATATCTGATATTGACATATATATATATATATATATATATATATATATATATATATATGATTTTTTTTTACAGAGAGGAAGGGAAAAGGTTAGAGTTAGAGACATCTATGAGAGAGAAATTTCAATCAGCTGCCTCCTGCACACCCCCTACTGGGGATGTGCCCACAACCAATGTACATGCCTTTGACCGCAATCCAACTTGGGACCTTTCAGTCCACAGGCTCTATCCATGGAGCCAAACCATGGGTAGTTAGGGCTGCTATTGACTTCTTGAATGACGTTAGTGAGGTACTTAACCTTGTGGTCCTCATACATGTCTCCTACAATGCTTATTACACTTGTATCCATCTTGCATCAAATTTTCTAACAGGCCATTTTTAAAATGTTTTTTATTTTTTATTTTTAGAGAGACAGGAAGGGAGAAAGAGAAAGAGAAATACTGATGTGAGAGAGAAACATCAATCAGTTGCCAACCATATGTGCCCCAACTGGGCATTGAACTTGCAACCTAGGTGTGTGCCCGATTGAGAATCAAATCTGCAACTTTTTGGTGTAGGGGATGACGCTCCAAACAACTGAGACATCTGGCCAGGGCAAGGACATGGGTGTTTTTAACAAGCTTTGAGGGATGTTTGATGTCACCAGTGATGATAGGATATGGAAATGTCTTCGGAAACTGAGCCTTGGCCTATTTCTCAGTTTCCAGGTGGGGGGAGTATTAGTTTCCTTAAGTTTTGCTCTGGGGACTAATAAGAGGAATGTAGTTTATAATCCTGGCATAGAATTTCTTAATGACGTGAATGCACTTTCTTGTGAATGACGTGAAGGTACTATAATAAGATTGCAAAAGGTAAACCTTAACACCAGCAGCCCTAGTGACTTAGTAGGCTCCTTGCTTGAGATGTTGTGATGACAGAAGTTGATTTTATATAGAAACTCTGATTGCTGTTGAGCAGTCTCTTCTGCCTGAAAGGATTATAGTTACTCTTTAGTAGTAGAAGTTCTCACAACTCTTATTAAAAGCATGTGTGTGTGTGTGTGTTTTTAAAAACAGGCTACCATCGTGTGGGTCATATCAGCAATGAAATCATCTGAAAGCTAAGAGCAGAAGCCTTTTTGGTCAACATGGAGGACAAAAGACGGCGAGCCCGCGTGCAGGGAGCCTGGGCTGGCTCAGCCAAGAGTCAGGCCGTGGCTCAGCCAGGCAAGCACCCGTGGGGATCCTGTGCGTGTGAATGTGGACAACTGTCATCCTCTTTCCTTTACATCCCTCTGGTTTACAGTGGACTCCCATTTCGATGTTAAAGAATTATTTAAAATGTGGCTGGTGTTTTCTCTGAATTTATTGACGGTGAGCTAAGGGATGATCTGTAGTGTTTCTCTCACTTAGTCATTACACTCAGATCTTTCAGTGCGTGTGTTGAGGTCTTCAGTAGATGTTACTAATTAATTTGTAGAGGTCACAGAGGTCATCTCTAAGTGGATTTCGTTGGTCCTTGCTCAGTAGTAGGTGCTGAGAGCAGACTTTTCTCTCTCTCTCTTTAGCTACCACTGCTAAGAGCCATTTCCACCAGAGCCCTGGTCAGACCTGGACAAACAAGGAGCATCATCTGTCAGACAAACAGTTTGTATTCAAAGAACCCCAGCAGGTAAATTCTTGTTTCTCCTTCAACAGTAACGGATGGTTTATAAATTATATTCACATTGTAGACACTCAAGTAAGTAGTGACTGAATAAATTCACTAATAAAGGAGAGTTAAAGGACTATAATAATAATGAAATGTAGAATATCAATTTCTTAGTATATCTGAGAATTCTCTGTAGTCTTCCCCCAAATTATGGGCATGTGTAATCCGCCCCCCCCTTTTTTTTTAGTACAGAGGCTGTACATGACCAGATGTTAGAGGTGATAACATGACTAGAGCTTTCATTGGTTAAAGTCTAACAGTCCTAAAACCACGCTGTCTTCAGTGCTAGTGCAGCAACTGTCTCTGAAATTGGATTGAAATTTCAGCAACTACAATGCTTGATATGTTAGCTTTTTTTCCATGGGGAAAAATGTAAGAAACAGTGAAGATTCACTGTTTTTAATAATAAGGGAGAAAGCTAAATATCAGACATCATGCTATAGCAGTGATTTTCAACCTTTTTCATCTGATGGCACACGTACATTACTAAAATTCTTTAGCACACCAAAAAGTATATTTTTTGCCGATTTGACATTTTAAAAGGTATAATTTTAATTGGCTTACCAAAAAGAAAGTTTTTATCCATCCTTTTTTTCCTCCAATGGGGCTTTTTAAAGAATCAGGTTCCTATACTTGTATATAAGGAATTCTGGTACCAAGAATTAACCAGTCAGATGCCACCTGATTATGTGACATAACCAATGAAATGCAACCCTAGTATATGACCTATATCATTATGGTTCAGACAAGGCATTCACACCGGATAGCTGTTGTCATTTTCTTACTTGACAATCTAAGATAAGAGAGGTCAGTGCCCCTGACTAAAGAGTCAGGTATTGCATGTTTTAAAAATTCTTGTGGCACAGCGATCGAAAATTGCTGTGTTCTAGTAATGATTTCATAAATGATTAAAACCCCTTATTTTATAGAATATCTTTTGTTTAAAAAACAAAAACAATCCCTGAAAGGTTTTCCTAATGCTGGCTCTCTTAGAAAAATGGATCAATTCCAATTGCCTCGTCCTTTAACGCTCACTAGTAACTAGTAACTAGTAAGAAGAGCAGAAACAAGAGTTTCTGGTGGGACAGTGAGATCTTGGAATAAAAAAGGATAGTTTTGAATTGATTTATTTTGACCAGAATGAAAGGATACAGTAATCCTGCAAGTCAGCCTTGCTGAGGGTGAGGAGCCCTTCCACAGTAATATCTGCCTGTTTCCTTGCAGGCGGTGCGCACAGCCCCGGAGCCGCGAGTGATTGAGTAAGTAATTTGCCGCCTTCCTCTGATTATTGTCCGCCCTGAAATGGAGAGCCCGGGATTGTTCCCCCACCCTGATTTTTCCGTCTGGGAGAGATAACCGGCTTAGTGTCTTAATTTTAGGCTGGGATATTCCTATCTCAGATGTCTTTAAGCTGGGTCTTTTGAGAAGCCTCTCTGAATTTACTGAGGGTGTGGAAAATGCAACAAGATAGTCTACGTCAAATTCTGACTGGTGTAGCTTTCCTGACCCTACTACACTAATATGTCTGCAGATAGTGAGCTAAAATATCTCCTAGGTTAAGACGGGGTTGGAGGAGCGTTTTTCCTGAGTCATTGAAACATGGCTCTTTGAGAAGCCTGTAGATACCATTTTACTAGCAAGGCTTATGAAAGCTGCTAGAAATCTGGATAATCCCTACAACCTATTTCTTAAAACCACATAATTGTTTCAGAGCAAGTGAATGATAGTAAACATTCCAGTCCTCATATTAATGTGTCTAAAATGTTCTTGTCAAAAATTGTTAAAGATGCTTTGACTCCTCTTTTCCTGCTTTTCAATTTCCATCTGATGTGCATAAGTTGTCAGTCTAAAGCATCCTTTTATTTTAGCAGGTTATCATTATGCTTATGTTATTGCTCATGAGCAGTCTGTTAAGCTGTTTGGCTGTTAAAGGTTGACTTGCATATCTTAAAAATATTTTAAACACAAATGTCATCATACTTTCAGAAAGGGTATGTTTTTGTGGCCTTGCCACTAGTTAGCTATGTAACTAGTTCTTAGGTAAGCTACTGTCATCTCTCTGGGCTGTAGTCTTCTTGTTTGTAATATTAAGTGTTTTGACTACTTAATCCCGTACGGCCCAGTCTAGTAGCTCTACAGTCTTTGATTGTTTTATAAATACCAGTGTGATATTATCTCCATTGGTGATAAAGAGAATAAATAAAACCATGAAACCTGTTACAAAATGGGCAATTGTGAGTTTGCAAGTCAGGAGCAATGTGACAGAACTGATTCCTATTTAACCCTGGGGCTTGTTAATTTTGGTTATCTAGAGTTAGCTGTGCTAGATTTTTCTAATAGCCAGAAGTGTGGCTCACATTTGAAGTGAGCCAGCTTCTAAATGTGGCCCAAAATATATCACATAGCAACATTGTAATCACACACAACACGTTTAGACATGTGACCAATACTGTATATGTAACAGTAGTTCTGCTACATTTTGGTTCAGAGTGGCTCACACATCTACCTAAGAGCCTGCTCAGAGATTGTGAGCTACTCACTCACATGGCAGAGCAGTGTGTGAAAACTGTCCCTTTGTATTATCCTCAGTAACGTACCTCTTTCCGAAAAGGAACTGACACAGTTATCTGGATAGAGGCACCTATCCAGTCGGGAACACTTCCCTTACATGGACCTCGCCACCCTGCACATATGCAACAGTTTTGTGCTGTTGCAAACTTGATTAAATTCAATTAGCTTTTATTGCTCAACTAGTATGTGCTAGGTGCTGGGAAACAGTAATAACCCATTTCTTGCCCCTCAATAGCCCACAGTCTAGTAAATGAAATGGACATGTGACCAAATACATTGTAATCCTGTGTATCATGAAATAGTAGATTTGTATGTAAGGTCTTATGGTAGCACAGAGGATGAGATGTTAACATTCGGGTGGATTAACGGTCAGGAAGGTGATGCTGAGCTGAAACGAGGTGGTGTAGTCAGGGAGTCCAGGCAGTGAAGTTGGTGGAGCTATCGGGAGGTGGAGCCAGGTCACAGGGACGTTAAATACAATGCTGACAAGTTGCTGGGGAGCCTTGAAGGACTTTATTTTTTTTAATTTTAAAAATATATTTTTATTGATTTTACACAGAGAGGAATTGAGAGGGATAGAGAGTTAGAAACGTCGATGAGAGAGAAACATCGACCAGCTGCCTCTTGCACACCCCTCACTGGGGACATGCCCTTGACCGTAATTGAACCCGGGACCTTTCAGTCCGCAGGCTGACGCTCTATCCACTGAGCCAATCCAGTTTCAGCAGCCTTGAAACACTTTAATCAGAGGAGGAACCTCATTAGACATGTATCTGAAAGCAGCAGATGCACAGAGCCCTTGCTACCTGTTAGATGCATCTCTTTTCCAGAGTTTCCAAGGGGGCTCTCAATTTGGCACTATTTTGGCCTAAATTATGGGTGAATAGGAAGGAGTAGGATCAGAGTTTATGTTATTACAGTCTTCCTTTCATGGTCTGATCTTGTCAGGATCTGTTCCCAGTGCCATTAATGATGTCTTGCCATCTCGCCCCTTATCTCAGTGGTAGAAGGTGGGCTGTTCTTGCCCTCATTGTTGAATGACTTTGGTGAGTCAGGACTTTGAGATCTAAGGACAGCCCTTCCACTGGGTGGACGGAATTGTTTTGTTTGATACTAACAAGCCTGTGTTCTTTGTTTCCTTAGCAAAGAGGGTGTATATGAAATCAGCCATTCACCCACAGGCATATCTAGGTAAGTGACTTTAATCGATGCATGAGTGTACTAATTGTCACTATAAAATAATGAAGCATTTAAAGCAAAATATATTAGAACTTATATATCTAAATTAATTGCTTAGAAGAAGTCTCTGTAATTACTCAGTGGCACTGCCATTATTATTATTACCCTTTCTGGAGCCTCCCTTTTAAAGCAAGTGTAACAGTCACACAAGGAAACCAGTTGCATTATTTTGGTCACAGCTCATTGTTAACCAGGTATGGCTAAGGTGAGCTTGGACTCTTTCAGAATATCGAATGCATCTTTAAAGAGTAAAAAAAGTTCAAGAGAATCTTCCAAGGGCTTTCAGAACACTTCTTAAGAAGGATCTCCAAAGTGATTTGAATTACTTAGCTGTGTTGAAATAAGTGTGTATTCAGTGAGAGAAAGAACCATTATTTAGATATTTTAATTTTAATGTAATCATAAATGATTATTTCCCCTACAGTTGGCATAGTATCAGAAGACTACCAATTGTTAAAATGACACGGGGCCAGGCTTACTTTACTTCTCACAGCAACCCTCTGAGGTGGATATGAACTTCCTGTTATGGGTTACAAAAGCCAAGGTCCAGAGGTTGAATAACTTGCCCAAGGCTTCACAGCGAAGCAGTCAGTGCTGCATCAAATTTGAACCATGTGTATAAGAGCCCTTATGAATGAATCCCTTTATCCTTCATGCTTTTACTTGTCTGCACACAAAAGTTTATTTTACATCCGAGCATTGTGATCTGGGTGATGCTGGGCTCTGCTTGCTACTGGAGGTGTGGTGAGATGATTTCCTCTCCCCAGGAAAGGAGGCATCATCCACTTTAGTTCAGTCTGCTAACAGAGTCTGCAAGCCATCTTTTCTGTGCAGTTTAGTTACTAGTGGTTCTTTCTGCTTCAAGGGTGCATTTGTATCCTGGCTTTGTTGACTTGAGAGAAGCCGACTGGGTATTGGAGCAGCTTTGTCGGGAAGTTCCCTGGGAACAGAGGACCGGCATCAGAGAGGGTAAGTGGATCTCTGAGATCGCAGCGGTTGCCGCCTGCCTCGCTTTCTGGAGTGTTTTCCAACACTCGCCTCTTTCCACCACAGTTATCAAGGATGCATAGAAGTTAGCCAGTCAGAGAAAGGGGACAGAGGGATAATAGACTCAGATCATGACAGGAGAACGGAGTGGGCGGGCACTCAAGGAACCAGAGCAGTTTGGGTTGGCCGAACTGTGGCTGACACGCTTACTTCCCTTTGCGTTTGTTCACTGCCTTTGCTACATCACATGGTGCCAGTGTCCCTCTTTCTTCATAGAAACTTCCAGGGCTTTCTATTTTTTTCTGATTCTACTCGGCAAACGTTTTTCACAATCCTTACTGGCTTTTTATTTTCTTTCTTGTTTCACTGGAAGAGTCCCTCCTGTAGCTTCAGCTGCACTCTCTTGAGCTTGTCAAGCATTGGAGCTGCTCTGTGGTCAGCCACAAGCTGCTAGAGCACCTGTAGTACCAGAGGCGGCCACTGAGGGGCATCTGTGCTCTTATACAATTCCTTTCTGGCAAATCAAGTGAATTTAAATTTTCTGTAAAGAAAAAGTCAAAGTATACTGGCTTCATTTGACTCAAACATCAAAATAACTCAGCTCTCCTCACTCCCAGCAGTTTCTACAGCAGGGCTTTTGGTGACAGACTTGCCTTTGGTTCCAGACTCTGTTATTCAAAATAATTGTTAATTTTAAGCAAAATACAGTAATTTCCTAGTCCTAAGTTTTCAGATCTGTGAAATGGAGCCAATAATAATAATAATAATAATAATAATAATAATAATACTTACCTTATAAGGTTGTTGTGATAATTAAATGAGATAATGCATGGTAAGTACTTACCAGAATGGCAGGTACATAGTAAGCCTTCAATGAATGTTAGCTGCTTTTATTATTATTATTCTAATTGTTGCAGTAATTGATACCAATTGCAGGGGGAAATAGATCTATGAATAACTCCCTTTCTAAATAAATTGGACATAAGAAACTTCTAAAGTCAGCTGTATGCTGTGGTTGATCAGAGTACACTTTCTTTGGTGGCAATAGGTAAATGGTCTGTCTTGTTTCTTTTAAAAAAAAAAACATATATTTTTTTTTATTGATTTGAGAGAGAGAGGGATAAAGAGAAAAATATCAATGTGAGAAAGAAACAGAAATTGGTTGCCTCCTATAGACACCCCTTCCAAGTATCGAACCCACAATCTGGGCTTTTGTCCTGACTGGAAATTGAGCCGGTGACCTTTTTGGTGAACAGGACAATGTTCAACCAACTGAGACACACCAGCCAGGGCCCGTCCTGTTTTTTGTAGGGATGTTGGTGCCACAAATTCCTACCTACAAGGCTTCAGACTCTGGGTCCTGCTTTTTCAATCCTCCTTGTCTCTTGTTGACTCCTTCATTCTTATTTGTGTCTGACACAACTAAGTCACACATTCTCACCTCATAGTTTGCTCAGACTGTTTCTGCCAACACCTCTTCTCATCTTGAAATTGCACGTTCTCTCTGAAGGTGGAGCCTGGGTCAGCGCCCATTCTTGCTCAGCCTTTGTATTTCTCATAGCTTTTTGTACATTGTGGTTAGCACTCAGTAGGTACACCTTAAATAGCATTAAACCATTTCAAAGGCCCTGTATTTTCTTTCTCAGATGTAACTTACCAGCAACCAAGACTCACAGCATGGTATGGAGAACTTCCTTACACTTACTCCAGAATCACTATGGAACCAAATCCTCACGTATGTTGGAACATTGCTGTTGTATTTCTATACATAACTGTAAAGTACTAGAAAAGAACAGTAAAACACCTTACAGAGTTGCATGATGGTTCCTCGTTCAAAAACCCTCTGGGTTCAAACACTCTTTGTCATTGGTCAGAAAATCTGGAACTGAAGTGAAGTGGAATCAGACTTCCGGATTTCAGGAAAATGATCCACTTCTTCTCCAAGTCTCCTCCTTCCCCAACCCTTTCTGGCTGCAGCCTTCTGTGCGTACCCTGGGACACATTTACTGTGAGCCCAGAGTCCTTATGGCTGGCCAGCGAGGTCAGAACGTCTCTTCATTTTTCAGGCTAGGTTGTCATTTGTGGAAAACATTGGTGTTTTTCTTGTTGACTTTGGATTTCTTCTTAGACCTCAACTTATTGCTTTGGCTTGTTTCTAAAAATTTCCATGACAGACAAAGAGATGCTAGTATATAAATTAAGCTTGTCCAGAGGATGGAGTTGAGATCCAAGAAATAGCTCCTTGTTTAGTCTTTGGAATCTTGCCCTTGGCAGATAATGTTATGCTTTATGGAAAGAGACTTTGAAGAAAATGGAGTTTGCTTACGCCATTGGGATAAACAGAAATGTGACATGACACACTTCAGAGCTTCTCATAATTTATAATTATAAACTATTCCTGCGCTAAAATGTTTGTGGGTCAAACATACTCTGTGCTTTGTTTCTGGGCTGCATTGAGAGTGTGATCAGGGAGGTGTTGAGACCTTATAGCTGAGGTTGGTTTGGAGACAAGAGAATGGAACTAGGCCAACCCAACATAGACTGCTGATGTTTCTGTCCGAATTAATGTACCTTTTTGTCAGCAGTCACAGCAGAGAAGCTGAAGATTAAACAGGCTGTGGGGAAGAAGCTCCTCATTTATTCTAGTTAATCTTTTAGAACAGGATTCCTCAACCTTAGCATTACTGCTTTGAGGCTGGTTAATTCTTCGTTATTGGGGCCGTGCTAGGCATTGTAGGATGTTTAGCAGTTAGTCTGACTTCTCACTGAATGCCAGAAGCACTCTCACCAAGTCGTGAAAACCAAAAATGATTCCAGACTTTATCAAACATCTGCTGAGGGGCAAAACTGCCCCTGGTTGAGAACCACTGCTTTAGAATAAACAGAAGGCATATAAGATCTGCTGAGTAGAATAGTCTTTTATGCTTGGAGGACATTTTGACAACTCTTAAAGGGTATTTCTTTTCATGACAATCCTTTTATTACAATGTAAGTAATAAGTATATATTATTGAAAATTTAGAAACTGCAGATAAACATGAAGAATACCAAAATTTTGGGTAATTCTTCCAGCTGATTTTTGGTTCCAGTCTATTTCATTTTAGGCAAATATATGAAAAGAGTAAAATAAATTATGTATACTGCATTTCTTTTTTTATCATTTAAATTTTGTTTTTTAGTTACAGTTTACATTCAGTATTATGTATTTTGTATTATTAATAGTTTCAGCTATACAGCATTTTGGTTAGACAGTTATATACTTTACAAGGTTATACCCCAATATTTCAAGTACCCACCTGGCACCATATATAGTTATAACAATACTGTTGATTATATACCCTAAGTTGTACCTTGCATCCCTGGGACTGTTTTGTGACAAAATTATAGTTCTTAATCTCTTCACCTTTTTCAATCAGTCCTCCAACCCCTGTTCCTCTGGCCACCATTCATCAGTCTTTTCCCTGTATCTGTGAGTCTGTTTCTATTTTTATTGTTTAGTTTGTTCTTTAGATTCCACATGTAAGTGGAATCATATGAATTTGTCTTTTTCTGGCTGACTTATTTCACTTAGCATAATACCCTCTAGGTCCATTCATTCTATTGCAAATGGTAAGATTTTATTCTTTTTTTTAAAATTGATTTTAGAAAGAGAGAGATAGAGAAACATTGATTTGTTGTTCCACTTCTTTATGCATTCATTATTGCTTTTAAAAAATATATGCTTTTATTGATTTCAGAGAGAGGAAGGGGGAGAGAGAAGCATAGATGTGCGACATAAACATCCATTGGTTATTTCCTGTACACACCCCTACTGGGAATCAAACCCAAAACCTAGGTGTGTGTCCTGACCGGGAATCAAACCCATAACCTTTTTTTAATTAAGGTATATATATGTGTCCTTATCAAATACATATCTTTTGGTATATAAGACAGTGCTCTAACCAACTGAAGCACCAGAGCCGGGCATTTCTCATATTTTTTAAGGGGGATTCATTAATGTGTATATATGTGTGTATTGGGGATACTTGTTGGATTTTAAAATAATTATCTCAAGCTTAATATATAACACAGGAGCAGATTCAGTCATAGGTTATTAAACTTCTTTTAGTCTTTCCTCAAACTAAATCTCATATGAACCTGATATATGGAAGTAGATGAATGCCTTAGCTGCCTGGAGTCCCACCACTTGCCCTCTCCTTTCCCCTGTGGTAATCCCAGAGGTACCTCTGAGTTACCTAGGACTGTACAAAACACTGTTTGAAATCCACTGAATGCATCCTTTCACTTCTGCGATTCATATTTTCTCAGACTTTTCCGCAAATGTCTTTTAAGGATAGCATGGCTTCACTGCACAGTGAGATGACGCTGAATTTTAATTTAGACATTCAGCTCTGAGGGCTCTGTATATAGAGTATTGGGTGGAGAGTCTAAATTAATCCTCTAGTTCATTATCCCCCTTTTTCTCCTTTTCTCCTTACTTCACCACCAAAAATAACCAAGAAAAAAATACATAGCCACTTAGAAACATAATGCAAACCTGGTGTTATTACAGTGCTCAGTCCTGAAGCAAGACAGGGAAGTGCTAATTGGTTTCTCAGTCACAGGCAGAAAAGCTATCTTCCTCCGTTACATTCTGGTTTTCCTTATTGAGTGTAATTCTAGCATCTGATCTTTATCTGATTCATGAAGTTAAGCTTAAAGCTATAAAATAAATAGGAAATACGGCTTGCTAACATTGTTATGGAATTTCACTTGAAAATCATTCTCTTAAATATAGGCTAATTTAATAAGATTTCTGTTTTATTGATCTAAGTTTTGTTCTTATCACTGTTTATCTTTTAAAGTCCTCTGTTAGAATGTAATGTTAACATTCATAAGGAATCCCAGCTTTTGCCATGGTTTCCCTATCACAGCAAAGCTGAATGATTCCCCATCTGCTTCCATGGCATTTTTACCTGACCGTAGCCAAGGGACATAAATAATAATAATAACAACAACAACAACAACAACAACAGCAACAATATAATAACATTATTATTATGCTTTCCTTTGTTAAACATTCATTCCTTCGCTACCAAACCTAGAACATGGACCTTGAAGGGTTTCTGTAACGTATCAATTCTTACAGTACAATCTATGGAGCCTGGAGGAAGGTCACAAAATTCTTTTTGGAAATTCATAAGGTCAAACTATTTTTATAGTAATACTAAGACTGGGTGACATTTTACTATGTTGAATTTGCACTGATGGTGAATAAAAAAAAATAATGGTGGATATAACTTAGTTTGAACCAGGCATTGTCATCAGACTGTGCTAATAACCATTGTATTCACGTTTGTGCTCTTTCAGTTTAAAAAAAATGCTGGTTTCCTTTAAGAACGCCCTTGGATGAAGCAGTAAACATTAGTGTTATGAAATCTCAATCTTTTTAATAGTTTGAGGAAATGGGAAGTATGTGCAAAGTATCCTATTACAGGCCCAGTATGATGGTTATCAAGAAAAAACATGTGTGATTGTGTAAGCCGTAAGCTGAACTAGCTACTTTTTTTATGGACCATTTTTTCTTTGAAATATCAACTAGCAGACCAATTATAGTTATTCACACTTGAGTATTTGGCAGACATATTTTTTAAAAAAATGAATGAAATGAGTGTCACTTCAAGGAAAACAACAGGATTTAATATTAATGATAAAGATTGCGTTTTCAAGCAAAAGATAGTATTTTGGGAAAACTCAGAACTGCCACCTTGAGCCTGACCTCTTCTCCTTACTTTGCCTTTTCTGATGAGATCCATGGCAATGTTAATGGATGTGGAGTGTTTTTTTGGTATTATATAATGAAATGTTAGAAGATCTGTATAACTCAGTGAACCAATATTTCCTAGATGTTACAGAAGTATACAGGATTGAAAATCCATTTGAAATGCAGCATGGACCAATGATTTAAATATAACAATATGAAAAGTTTATTCATACAGTTTCAGATTCCACATTGCAACTAACCTTTAGAAATCAGGGCTTGTTGAATTTTGGTTTGATATCAAAGAATATCTGTAATTATTTGAAAAGGCTATAAAAGACTATTTTCTAACTACATGTCTGTGTGAAGGCAATTTTCTTCACATAGTTCAGCAAAAACAACATACTGTAACAGATTGAATGCAGAAGCAGATCTGACAGTCAGCTGGCTTCAGTTAAGCCAGACATTAAAGAGATTTGCAAAGCAGTGGTGCTCTTCTCACCCATTGTTTGTATTAGAAAATATAATTATTTTTCATAAAACATTATTTTTGTTAACATGTAATGAGTTTGCTATTTTTTAAATTAACCAGTAGCTTAAAATTTTTTCAGCTATAATTTTTAACATGGCAAATCTTAAAGCCGTAACCCATAAAAACAGAAGGTCTATGGGGTCCTCAGTAGGTTTTGATAGTGCAACCACTGTCCTAAAAGAAGCTCTGTAAAGCATTGTGTTTTCCAGAGGAAAGAATTTTAACAAGAATCAACACAAGCTATGCTGCTTATAGCTCGAAAGTACAACCTAAGGTCAGGGGTCATAACTTCCCGTAGTATAGTTTGTGATTTCTAAAGTGTAAACTACATAATGAACTTGGTGATCAGGAGGCTGGGCTGTGGATCTGTTTAAATCTCCTCTAGTTCACAGACCGTACACTTACCAAGACTATCTCATAATTTCATCCTGTAGAAAGGGGTATTTTCCCCATTAGGTTGAGTTTCTAGGAAGCTAGCCACTCTGGAAATATTAAATTTCTTTTTTTAAAAAAGCAATTCTGCCATTCACAATAAAATAGGAATAGGATGGACAGAGGGCCACCCAGCAAGAAAGTTGTTTGGCTTCTCACACTTCAATCTGTGTTTGCTATCTACCTGGCAGCCCATCAATGATGGTGCAAACCAGACTCACTGCTCCACTTCCCACCTTATTGACAACCGAGGTGACTGCCTGGAATAGACAGTTCCTCTTTCTGAGGGTCATGTATTTAACATGGAAGGGATGAGATGGGTGGATAGGCCTGGTCCTCATAGAGCTGTGATACTAAATTTAGTACCTTAATAAAATTGCAGAGGTTAACTTGCTTCAAAATAGAAATAATGGATGGGAATTAAACTACTCTTCCTGCCTCTGTCTATTGCATTCCATGTGGTTTGCTTATTCCACGCTCCTGTGTATAAAATGTGACTGATTTTGCATTTCCTTTCTGCTTTTCCATGTGGCTCTCTGCTCCTTTCCTTGGCCTGGTGACTGCAGTGGCACCCTGTGCTGCGCACACTTAAGAACCAAATTGAGGAGAACACGGGCCACACCTTCAACTCCTTGCTCTGCAACCTTTACCGCAACGAGAAGGACAGTGTGGACTGGCACAGTGATGATGAACCCTCGCTGGGGAAGTGCCCGATCATCGCCTCTCTCAGTTTTGGTGCCACACGCACTTTTGAGATGAGAAAGAAGCCCCCGCCAGTGAGTACTCCTTTTTAATTTTTTAACTTTTATGTTCTTTCTGCGTCTAGATATTCTGTGAAAAAAGGGGTGCTCCTGTTTTCAAATTTAGAGGATAGAAGTGTGTGATTTGTTGATGAAACATTTTGAACTGATTGCTTACTCCATGGTTAACTTTTGGTTTCCAAAGTGCCCATTCACTCATTTACTTTTCTACCAGACACTGCCTGCCATGTGCCAGGTGCTGGTCAAGTTCCTTTAGTTGTCTGCCAATAGCAAGAGAATCTGCACTGTAACTGTGGTAGATGATTTGATAAAAATATAGATCTGATAAGTAAGAAAATTTGTCCTTGGTGGAAAGGACAGACACAGTTCCTGTGCTCCTGGAGACAGGGTAGACAGGTATTATAATTACGCACATAATTACAATGACGGAAAATGCAATAAAGGAGGACTTATAAAGAGATGGCCCGCCGAAACCGGTTTGGCTCAGTGATAGAGCGTCAGTCTGCAGACTGAAAGGTCCCAGGTTCGATTCCGGTCAGCGGCATGTACATTGGTTGCGGGCACATCCCCGGTAAGGAGTGTGCAAGAGGCAGCTGGTCGATGTTTCTCTCTCATCAACGTTTCTAGCTCTCTATCTCTTTCCTTTCCTCTCTGTGGAAAATCAATAAAATATATTAAAAAAAGAAAAAGAAAAAGAAAAAAAAAGATGGCCCATGCTAGAGGGGGTGAGAAGGGAAAGGAAGGAGGTTCCAGGAAAGATGCTCCTAAAGAAGCCTTATTTGAAGTAAGTGTTCTTCATGGCACTGATGTCTTTTCCCTGTGAGGGAGCATCACCTGCATCTGCATTGCCTCCTTAGCTTTCTCCCGGAATACTGACACCCCTGCCATTCCTTCAGAGAGGAAGTTCAAGCCAGATATCGGAAGTGGCGGTCTGACCAAGTTCAGATAGAGAAGCAGTGACTAAACAGACTATACAGTAATTTCATTTTTCCATCCCAGCTCTTGTATTATATAATGTTGAGTGATGTAAGGCTGTTAATTTTTTTTTTTTTTAAGTATAGAAGCTTAGGACTAAGGTAGATAGAAAGACAGTAGAAACTCTTAAGAAAAACACACAAATCTCTACCACATCATCTTATTTCCAGAGTTTGTGTCTTTTTCTAACCAAGGTTTCCAGTCATTCTTTTTACAACATTGAACCAGACGCAGGCAGTGTGGAAGGCCTGCGAGGCTGTCTTGAATGTGACTTGATCCAGACCTCATAGTTACTGGTAGGCAGTGCTTGTGTCTGTCCTTCGTCAAACATCTTCTCTGAGGATGCAGTTAATGGACTGGACTATTTCCTGACATGTGTTCGGGTTTCCAAGCACAGTATTTTGAAACATAAGGTGTTATTTTACATTTATGCCATTAAGTACCTTTTTGTATGTAAAATTCCCATTGATTTAGGTTTCCTTTACTTTGTTTACACAGAAACTTTGATCAATGTAAGCAGGGGATTGTCACTTGCCAGTGAGTTAGTTATTGAGTGATCCTGCTCTTTGAGTTCTCTTCACACTCTCATTGGCAGTCCGCCTTCTCTTGTACCAGGGAATACCATTCGAGAAGCAGACTGCCCAGCCTTTGCTGTCTTCCTTTTAGGTCTGCTTATACGTTTCTACAGAGGCTTCCACTCAGTGAAATCACAAGTTCACATGTGTGAAGAATTATCTAGATTTATCCTGCCCTGTTACGTGAGTGGCAGAGGAACACCATGTCTCATCTGTTAATTCAGACCCTCTTCTTAAGCCAGTCACATGGAACACCAGCTATGTGCTAAGTGTGGTCCTGGGCGCAGGGCTGTAACCACGAAAAAGATGAAGTGATCCTCCCCCTTGGAGCTCATGATCCAACACCTACTAGTGCTGTGTCTTCCCCCCGGGTCATCCTTCCCTCCTTGCAATTGGCAAAAAGCTGTAACATGTCCAACATAACCTTTACTGCAATCCTAGTTTCTGATTCTTCACAGTTATTTTCTTTGTTGCCAAGTATTTACGTATTCATACTGTTTTTTTACCCACGTACATTTACCATCATCCCCTTTTAAAAACATCTTTAGCCTCTTTATAGATTGAAGTTTAAGAGTTCCCAAAGCATTATTTCTGGGTAATTAGTTTTACTGTATAAGCAGTCTCCGGCTACTATTAAGCACTAATAATGTTCTTGTGCCCAGAATATCCCCATTCCTTTTCGCCTCCAGGAAGCTGAAGATCTTCATTTACTGATAAAACATTCATGGTGTTCAAGAGCTGTTTCTTGGTAACATACTTCAGTTATGTTATAGTTTAATGTGTGGGTGGAGTATATAACTGTCACATAGCACTGTTTCTCAGGGCAACCGCTTGGAACAAAACCTCTGTTAAAGAGAGGGACTGCTCATACCGTAGCCCTAGCTCAAGGCATCTTGGAGTCTGTTTTGATGAACATGAGGGCAAGTACAGGCCATGAAACACTAACAGTGTAGTGAAGTCCCTTTCATTGTCTGCCAGTAGCAAGGGAATCTGCACTGTAATTATGGTAGCTGATTTGATAAAAATACAGATCTAATAAGTAAGAAAATTTGCCTGAGATCTTGAAACAATGTTGGCAAAGGAAACGGATTCGGGAAGAAATGTAAGTGTGTCAGTACCTCAGGTTATTGACTCTAATAAGTTTGGCTTCCTACATAGACTTAGCTATGATTGAACTTGATGCAATTGCATGTTCCTTCAATTCTGGCTTTTGTTTAAGATGGGGAAGTTAAATGTTAATATATTTAAATTATGATCATGCGTAAGTGAATATTCTTTACAAATGAATCCCTTCCCCCACCCCTAACCTATAGGTTCCATTCTTGGGTAAAGAGGACCCAAGTTTAAACTTTTCCAAAAACTCCTGCAAGTTTCTTTAACAGATAAAAATCGGGGGGCTCTGCAAATCTAGCAAAACTAGAAGTGCAGAAGCCTTTCTTTAGTCGATAGCCTACAGTGCATCTAGAGCACATGTCTTCATCCTATTATAATGATCGCTTTCTGAAGGATGGAAAGACAATGCTTATTGCAAGTCTTTGTCTTCTTTCTTTCCACACTCCAGTGTTAGAAAGTAGCTATGAGAACATGACTCATGACTCATACAACCCCAGGTAAAACATAAATTTAAAAGCATGAATTGGGTGAGTCTGCTGTGTGGAATTTGTAGGAGTCTGACTTTCTGTAGCTCTTAGGCACCTGTCTTCGTATGGCACTCTAGGTTGTAATTTTCCTGCCTGTCAACAAGACATTCAGAGTGTGCTAGAGGCTGTCAGAGGAATCTCTTTCAAAATCCAGTTGGTTTTAACCTATCAGAAGGGAAGCTAATAGCGGTTTGATTTGAGTCAGTTTCTCATCTGAAACTGACATAGAATAATCATAAGATTTCCTGTACTTCATTCAAATACGCAGTTTTAAGACTGAGAGGCATCTGTTTAAATCTGGAGTACTTTCAAAGAGAACTAGTCTTTCTTTCTTTTTTACATTCACACTCCTCTACCCCTGCAGCAGCTGTTGGTTTTGGTCTGGCACCTTAAGCAGATCTCTGTAGCTGCTGATCTTCTGAAAGCTGTTCCAGTTCCTCACATTGTAGTCCTAACAGTCTCTCCCTGTGCTGAGATGGTAAGGAGATCTTTGTTTCCTAAGCAGCAGTGCCCCTCTGATTCATGCAGTTGGCTCAGTCAGTTTCATGCTTGCATCATCCCTGGGATTACACATTTCTCTCCTCCAAGATGCCCATCCTTTTTCACTGTCCTGCCCATTCACTGTGATTGTAGAGTAGGTTATTGTTTCCTTTAATGATAATAAGGTGCTTAGGGCATAGTAAACTAACCGGATCTTGCTCTTCCATTCACCCCATCCCATTTGTTAATTCAGTTAAAGACTGAGTGAATAGCACACTTCTGTCTATCTACTGGCCAATGTTAGGATATACTGTCTTAAGGCAAAAGTAAACCTCAGTAGACATTTTTTTTAGAAACCAAGAACCTTTTTTATTCTACCACGCTGAGTTTGTTAAAGCTTTTTTGCACTCTTTGTCCGAAATGCCGTTGTACTTTTCAAACTGCACCATGTCCCTGTTGTAAAGATTAGTCTGGTTCTTTGCCCAGCTAGCTTTAATTCTATACTGAAAAACAAGCTGGACAGGGAACTACAAAAGCCATTTGGCAGGCTGCTATTTCTCCGTCAGTTACCATGGAAACAGTGATGGCTGAGTTGGGGGTTGTTATTAGGTAATAACAGGAAGTTTGTGATACACTGGAGAGTTAGATGCCAAAAGCCTTTTTTTTTTTTTGAGCAAATTATTCATGAGTAAATTCTGTCCTTCATCAGTTGGATCCTAAAAAGGGAGGGGCTTCTTATCTACTACAAGATGATGGAGTTGAGACACATTAGACATTTTTCTTGCCACTTCTCCCCCTGAGAGATGGGAACCCTGTTTGTGTCACCAGGAGAGATGGTTGTAAAACCACTTGTAATGGCAGAGGCTCTGAGAGTGCCCAATGAACTGGAGTTCCCAGTGCCTCCCTTGCTAAGAGCAGAGTACAAAAAGGTCAGTTTAATCATAAATACTGACATTTTTCCAGGACTTTAGAAGAAATGATGATGTTGGAATCCAAAATAATATATTGACTAGGTTCAGTTTGAAAACTAGATAAACCGTTTGTAGTATTTCATAGAGTGTTAACAACCCCCCCATGCTGTTCTAGTTATCCATCCTTATTAGTCTGTTCCCTTCTTACAGCAGCTGTCGGGAGAAATTACAAGAAATACATGAAAGAAATCCTTGATTACCATCATCTTTTTAGTACATACCCTAATGAAATTTAGAAAATCAAGTTTTGTTTCCTGCTTCTGAAATGATGCTGGTAAAAAGCATTCATCTGCCTCATTTATACTTACTCCCTTTTTTGTAGATGGAGATGGTAATTGGCAGCCACTCGATAGGAGTAATAGAAAGTTTTCCCA